GCTCCAACTAGAAAACAATGTTTTGATGCATTGGATGTGCTGAATGTGCATATTAAGGCAGTACAGGAGGAGGTGCACATTAATAATCCTCCAGGACTGTAACATGCTCATGTTTAACCCAAACAATGTGTCATGTGACTGCAGTTGGTTCAGATCCAGGTCGGAACACGTTCTCACCACAAATGAACCACACCAGAGTTCATTTGTAACCAGACCGACACCACCTCTTCAAGAAGGTCTCGGTCAGGTTGTTTGGTGCGTACCGGAGCGTGATTGCTGTGTTCACACCTGCCCAAACAAACTGCACTTGAATTCGATTGAACCGAACCAAACAGGGCAGGTGTGGAAGCACCTTTAGAAACAGTAGGAGGAGGAGCAGTGACATGATTATTTTTACAGACCATCTGTCATAGGTCAGCAAATATGACAAAAAAGCTATTTTCATAAAACTAACCAACTTTAGCTTTACAGCCATTATCTAAAGGATTTATAAATATCTGACTTTGATGCCCCCTGATGGAAGTATCAACTTGACTCTACAGAGTCTACAGCCACGTTAGCAGCTCTGCAGAGTAGCACTTAAAGGTCCCGTGTGTAAGATTTAGGGGGATTTAGTGGCATCTAGCAGTGAGGATTGCAGTAGCGGGAGCTGAATTGTCCACAGAGGTCTCTTCCTCTCCAAAACAAACAGACCAAGTAATTAAAACTGATAAGAACACTGAATGAGGCAGTTTCACGTTAAAATCAGTGTTTCTCCAACGCTGTTTGGCTTCTCACAGACGAGCCGCTGGGTCAGCACCTGCAAATGTTTGCTCGCCTATATCCTCTGATAACCTAATGTATGCTCACCTAATTGGTCCAAATGTTCAGGAGGTTTTTTAGCAGAAACCAAATTGTCTGCAGAGGTCTCCTCCTCTTTAAAATAAATAGACCCAGTGATTTTGACCTGTGAAAACACTGGATAAAGTAATTTTACAAAAAAAAAAACAAACATCAAAAATAAAATAAAATAAAATAAAATAAAATAAAATAATCACTTGCAATACAACAGGGTCCTAGCACCGCATGCTAGGGCCCAAATAAAATAAAATAAAATAAAATAGTTTAAATCACATCCAAAAAAAAATCTAATAATAATAAAAAAAAATCTAATTAAAAAAATCGTTGCTTTTTTGGAGGCTGCTCATCAAAGAGAGACTGCCAACTACGGTGGCCAACATGAAAAGGAAAATGTCCTTATCTAGAGCCAGTGTTTGGTTTGTCCATTCTGGGCTACTGTAGAAACATGGTGGTGCTACATGGGTGATCTCTGTAGACAAGGACCCACTCTTCTATGTAGATTTAAACGGCTCATTTTAGGGTAATGAAACACAACGATTCTTATTTTCAGGTAATTATAAATTAAAGAAATGTCTAGAAAACATACTAATTATATTATATT